CACCAACGGCCACCCGCTCTCCGCCGAGGAGGTACAGAAGGTCGTCAGCCGGGTGAACCAGCTCTCCAGCTAGCGGCGCAGAGGTCAGTCACCGCACCGGGCGTATTGCATGGGGACCCTAACAGACGCCTCACTCCTTTCCCTCATCTCAGTTGTTCTTTCATTTTTTTATTATTATAAATAATGGAGATAGACCAGAGCATTTTCGGTGCATATATTAGGGTCATGTTACTCCAACGGGGTTGCGTTGTCGGCACAGTCCTGTCTGGTCTGTGTGCTGCGGCGATGCTCTGCCATCCGGTGACCCAACGCCACTGTCCGCTGACCGAGTGTCGGCTCTCTGCTGACCGTGTAACGTCTGTCCGTCAGGGTGGTGGCCGTGAACGCCTGTCGGACGGCGCCGGAGGGCAGCGCCGGCCGGCTGCTGTCACTGCTGGACCAGCTGCGGCTGCCGGACGCCGGAGCGCTGCCCGACTGGGGTCTACATCCTGGTATGTTACTGGGAGCGGCACGGTGTGTGTTGGGTGCTTCTGACGGTCAGTTGTAGTAACTGTTAGTTCCTCTACTGGCCACCAGGTGAAAAGCGTATTAGCTGTACAGCAATGTAGAGTTGCTTCAGCTTTGGCGTAAACTTTCTCCTCTTCCGCTCACCATTCACCACCAGAGTCAGCAGCGTCTCGGCTGGCGGTCCAGTCAGTCAGAGCGAGTGTCTTCACTCGCCACAGCGGGCCGGACCCATTACAGGGCAGCAGAGTTATCAGTTACCAAGCCTTGGCCTATAAAGAAAACCAGGAAATAGTAGCAATTGCATATATGTAATGATTCTACTCTATTACGTTTGAGCTAGCGAAGCGTATTCCTGTAACGTTTTTAATAGGCTTGTAAGTCAGCAACCGCTGGGCTGATTGACCTGCGTTACTCTTTGTTGCGCGTAATCCTATCCCTTCCATCTCGTTATTGACTACAACTGATGTATCTTGGTGAGTTATTGACTACAACTGATGTATCATGGTGAGCGTCGTGACACGTGCGACGTGAAGGGCCAAGAGTGTTCGTTATTCTGCTGCAGTAGCGATTTTGGGTTGCTCATATATCTTGAACCCTGAACTGCCACGCCGATTGCGCTCAAATTTGGTACACTGTTTGGGACTGGTTGATAGGGATGTATTTTATAACTCGCATGTGTTTTTCTATAGCGCGGAGAAGAAAGTAGGGATTGTTAGGGTTAAGCAGGGACTCACCGATGTTAGATCCCTCTCTGGGTCTTTTCATAGGGGGTCACGGTCCTGACCCGAGATAGCTGAGCTGTGTCGCAGCCCTGACCTCAGACAGCTGAGCTGTGCACGCCGTCGGCTCGGCCGTCAGTCGCCACAGCCGCTGACGCCAGTGTCCAAACAGCTCCAAACAATATCCGGCCCTGTATAGCAGGATAAGCCATCAGAGGCGGGAGTGATCACCGGAACGGGCTGCATGGTACAGGACGGGCTGGGAACATGTCAACTCCAGCATGACGTGTTCCCAGTGTACCTGCATGTAGTTTCTTTATTCCTCAGCAGTTGTCATCCCCTTGGCGTTAGTGTTTCGCGTCTCTCCATTGATCACTCCCGCCTCTGATGGCTTATCCTGCTATACAGGGCCGGATATTGTTTGGAGCTGTTTGGACACTTGCGTCAGCGGCTGTGGCGCCTGACGGCCGAGCCGACGGCGTGCACAGCTCAGCTGTCTGAGGTCAGGGCTGTGACACAGCTCAGCTATCTCGGGTCAGGACCGTGACCTATGAAAGGACCCAGAGAGGGATCTAACATCGGTGACTCCCTGCTTAACCCTAACAATCCCCACTTTTTTGTCCGCGATATAAAAAACACATGCGGTTAGAGTACCTGTGTCGAATTAAGTAACTGGTTGATAGGGACTGGTTGATAGGGATGTGTTTTTTATAACTCGCATGTGTTTTTTATAGCGCGGAGAAAAAAGTAGGGATTGTTAGGGTTAAGCAGCGAGTCACCGATGTTAGATCCCTCTCTGGGTTTTTCATAGGGGTCACGGTCCTGACCCGAGATAGCTGAGCTGTGTCGCAGCCCTGACCTCAGACAGCTGAGCTGTGCACGCCGTCGGCTCGGCCGTCAGTCGCCACAGCCGCTGACGCCAGTGTCCAAATAGCTCCAAACAATATCCGGCCCTTTATAGCAGGATAAGCCATCAGAGGCGGGAGTGATCACCGGAACGGGCTGCATGGTACAGGACGGGCTGGGAACACGTCAACTCCAGCATGACGTGTTCCCAGTGTACCTGCATGTAGTTTCTTTCTTAGGTGTTGTTTTTATCCGCTGGGACTGAGAGCGTGAGATGATGTTTTTCGTACTACGCTGGAGTACGAAAAACATCATCTCATGTAGTTTCTTTATTCCTCAGCAGTTGTCATCCCCTTGGCGTTAGTGTTTCGCGTCCTTCCATTGATCACTCCCGCCTCTGATGGCTTATCCTGCTATACAGGGCCGGATATTGTTTGGAGCTGTTTGGACACTGGCGTCAGCGGCTGTGGCGACTGACGGCCGAGCCGACGGCGTGCACAGCTCAGCTGTCTGAGGTCAGGGCTGTGACACAGCTCAGCTATCTCGGGTCAGGACCGTGACCTATGAAAGGACCCAGAGAGGGATCTAACATCGGTGACTCCCTGCTTAACCCTAACAATCCCCACTTTTTTGTCCGCGATATAAAAAACACATGCGGTTAGAGTACCTGTGTCGCTTTAATTAAAGTTTATTATGTCAAAGTTTCAAAACATCAATCCGGTCTGCATGTCTGACTGCTCGCAGAACGGTTCTAGAGGCAGTGTCAGCGCGCGCCGAACGGTCCTCAGATATGTCCACTTTCAAGCGCGGAACGGTCTTTCTGCGCCACCAGACTCCTCTCCCTCTCCCCTCCCCCTGTCCGCTGGTCTATGTCAGACACCAGTACACCACTGACCTCCCCTACCCTCTCCTGACCTTCTCAGGTGCCAGCTGAGACGCTGGTCGGCCTACAGAACCTGCTCGTTCACCTGTGGGACGTCTCGGCAGAGAACGCGCACGTCTACCAGTACCGACTCTGGGACGCTAAGAGGGTCAATGTGGAGACCGCCCAGAACAGGGTATGTAACACAGACCGTAACACAAGCCGTAACGCAGGTCGTTACACAGGGCGTAAAATAGATTGAACACAGACCGTAACATAGATCGAACACAGACCGTAACACTGGCTGCGTACGTGCGGGCACTCGGCCGGCCGGAACTGGGCTGGATCCATTGGGCAATGAACAGGTGCTTTCTGTGACAGCGTCACCGCTGCAGGTCAGTCAGGGACACACAGACACTGCACCCGGCGCCCTTGTGCATGGTACAGGGCTCGCGGGTTTTAGCGTTAGGTTTTGCACCTAGAAAATTTAGTGTACTTCAGGCTATATCTTTGTCGTCTTAAGCTTTTAAGTGTTGAAGATGCGATCGACTTGTTGGGTAACAAGCCGGCCATGATCGTGTAAAATGGCTTCATCGTAGATCGATTAGTTTCTGAGATATAACCGGAAATGTAAAAGTGCAAAACCTACCGCTTAATCTCGCGAGACCTGTACCTGAGCCCTGAGCGCGCCCATGTGTCGCCCCCAGGGCGTGTCGCCGGACGGTTCTGTGTGTCGGACTGAAACCTGAACCTGCCTGAGTGTTATGCTATGACTCCCCAGGGCGTGTCGCCGGATGGGGCGGCCGGCTACCGGGACGGGCTGCGGTGGACCACCAACGGCCACCCGCTCTCCGCCGAGGAGGTACAGAAGGTCGTCAGCCGGGTGAACCAGCTCTCCAGCTAGCGGCGCAGAGGTCAGTCACCGCACCGGGCGTATTGCACGGGGACCCTAACAGACGCCTCACTCCTTTCCCTCATCTCAGTTGTTCTTTCATTTTTTTATTATTATAAATAATGGAGATAGACCAGAGCATTTTCGGTGCATTTATTAGGGTCATGTTACTCCAACGGGGTTGCGTTGTCGGCACAGTCCTGTCTGGTCTGTGTGCTGCGGCGATGCTCTGCCATCCGGTGACCCAACGCCACTGTCCGCTGACCGAGTGTCGGCTCTCTGCTGACCGTGTAACGTCTGTCCGTCAGGGTGGTGGCCGTGAACGCCTGTCGGACGGCGCCGGAGGGCAGCGCCGGCCGGCTGCTGTCACTGCTGGACCAGCTGCGGCTGCCGGACGCCGGAGCGCTGCCCGACTGGGGTCTACATCCTGGTATGTTACTGGGAGCGGCACGGTGTGTGTTGGGTGCTTCTGACGGTCAGTTGTAGTAACTGTTAGTTCCTCTACTGGCCAACAGGTGAAAAGCGTATTAGCTGTACGGCAATGTAGAGTTGCTTCAGCTTTGGCGTAAACTTTCTCCTCTTCCGCTCACCATTCACCACCAGAGTCAGCAGCGTCTCGGCTGGCGGTCCAGTCAGTCAGAGCGAGTGTCTTCACTCGCCACAGCGGGCCGGACCCATTACAGGGCAGCAGAGTTATCAGTTACCAAGTCTTGGCCTATAAAGAAAACCAGGAAATAGTAGCAATTGCATATATGTAATGATTCTACTCTATTACGTTTGAGCTAGCGAAGCGTATTCCTGTAACGTTTTTAATAGGCTTGTAAGTCAGCAACCGCTGGGCTGATTGACCTGCGTTACTCTTTGTTGCGCGTAATCCTATCCCTTCCATCTCGTTATTGACTACAACTGATGTATCATTGTATCTTGGTGAGTTATTGACTACAACTGATGTATCATGGTGAGCGTCGTGACACGTGCGACGTGAAGGGCCAAGAGTGTTCGTTATTCTGCTGCAGTAGCGATTTTGGGTTGCTCATATATCTTGAACCCTGAACTGCCACGCCGATTGCGCTCAAATTTGGTACACTGTTTGGGACTGGTTGATAGGGATGTGTTTTTTATAACTCGCATGTGTTTTTTTATAGCGCGGAGAAAAAAGTAGGGATTGTTAGGGTTACGTCACCTCCTTGAGGTTGAACTGGCACTTGCTCCTCTTCAGTCGCACTCCATGTTCGGTCAGTCTCGCCAGCACCTGGTCCAGCGACTTCAACATCTCCTCCTCTGTGCCTCCCATCACCAGTAGGTCATCCAAGTAGTTGACACATCCATCCAGCCCCTCCAAGATTCGGTCCATGGCTGACTGGAAGATGTCGCCACAGGAACTTATCCCGAACGGTAGCCTGTTCATGCGAAGAAGTCCCTTGTGCGTGGTGACAGTCGTCATGTTCTTCGACTCGTCGTCGAGCTCCATCTGCAGGTATGCATCCTTTAGGTCTAGTTTGCAGAATCTCTTCCCTTTTATCCTCACGAACAGCTCTTCAGGTGTGGGCAGAGGGTGCTTCTGTACCATCAGCTGCGGGTTGACTGTGATCCTGTAGTCTGCAGCTAGTCGGACACTTCCATCCGCCTTCGGCACAGGGACTAGCGGCGTTCCCCAGCCTGTGTTGAGGTTCCTGTCCACTTTCTCTGCCACACCTTCTCTCAGCCACCTGTCCAGCTCTGCGTCCACCTTCTGAAACAGAGCATGTGGGACTTGTCTCGCTTTCCGGAACACCGGTCTTGCATCTGGCTTCAGTGTCAGATGAGCTTTGATGCTGACACAGCCCAGTCCCTCTTCAAACACTTCCTTGTGTTTCTCCAGAACCACTTCCAGCGGCTCTTGTTCCATCATGTTGACTCCAACACATCCTGGCACTGTCACCTTCAACGCCTGAATCCAGTCTCTTCCCATCAGGGCCCTCCTTCCAGTCATGTCGGCCACCACCAAGCACAGCTTCCTTCGCACTCCCTGCTCAGCGGAGACTTCCACATCTGCTTCACCGACCAGTGGAATCATGTGACCTGTGAAGGACTTCAGCTTCAGCTGTGATGGTCGGATGTCGAGACCAGGTACCATCATGTCCCGGCTCACAATTGACACTGGGGATCCTGTGTCAATCAGCATCTGCAGCTCACATCCATTGACCAGCACGGACACCTTGCTTCCCCTTTCCTGGAGGTCCTGCTTGTCACTGACTTCCCACAGGTTCAGGTGCATCTCTGTCTGTCCTGCTTCGACTGCATGAACTCTGCCGCCCTTTTGCTGTCTTGGCATCTTAGTCTTGCAGCATCGAGCAAAATGGCCCATACCACCACATTTTGCACACTTCTTCCCTCGTGCTGGGCACCGCGGACCACCAGCACTGTGTCCACGGAACTGACAGGCCGTGCAGGGCTTGTCCTCCTGTCCTCTGTTGTCCTTAATGTGAGTGGCTGACCTGTCTTCTGCATCAGATGCACATGCTGCTCTTCCTGGTGGCTCATGTTCTTCAACATGTTCACAGTATGACCCTCTGGCTGTGATGACATTTCTTGTGTCACACGTCTGGTTTCCTCCCACACTCTTGCCATGGTCAGAACTTGCTGCAGAGAAAGGTTGTCACCCTTCTCCAGCGCTTGATGAAGCAGCTTCTCTTGTAGGCTGGGCTTACATCCAGCGATAGCTCGGTCACGCACTTCACAATCCAATCCTGAGCCACTGAAGCCACATTTGCGTCCTTGAATCTTGAGACGGCTGACATACTGCTCAAACTTCTCATCCACCTTCATAGTCATCTTGTGGAACGTCATTCTCTCAGCAATCACATTTTTCTCTGGAGCTAAATAGCTTTTAAATCGTTGTACAGCCTCCTTGAAACAATCAGTCTCACCTGGCATCACCACGGGCTGCAGTGACTCAAAAATGCTTTGATAATCTGGCCCCATCATGTGCAGCAGGACAGCCTTCTTCCTTTCTGGGCTCGATATATCTGCTGCTATGAGATATATTTCGAGACTTCCGACCCACTTTTGAAAGTCATCACCAGCTACATATTCCTTAACACCCGGCAATCCAATTCCAGCCATGTTCTGCTCACTGTTCTTCTGTAATTCACTTTTGGCGCCTTGCCAGACCGCTCTCCGTCCCTCTCTTGTAAACAACTTTCACTGACCTTGGCCGCCAAACCACAAAACAGCTGACTGGTCAGCTGATTTCCTCTGACCGCTCTCCCCAGTCGACCCGAGATCAGCTGTTTCGCCTCACGAACAGCTGACTCGTCAGCTGATTCCCGATCACCAGCCGACCCGCAATCAGCTGTTTCGCCACGTCCTCACCACCGCCCTGTCCACATGGCACACCGCAAAAACTCAATTATTTCCCGTCGCCGGTATTTCTTCTCTTGTATGGCCGTCCCTGCATTCCACCAACAGGCACGTAAAATCCGTTTCTTTTTCTCGTCGCCACGTGCAGTGTCTTTGCCTGTTCGGGTCGGTAGTCTGTGCGCCCAGCAGAGCCGTCCGTTCAGCACACGGTGTATTACACAACTGCCAGCCCCCCGCTCGGAACTCGGGGTTGGCCGGCACACGCACAACCGTACGGCAACGCCACCGCTAGGTGTCGTGCCGTGCTGACACAGATGTCGCGCGAGTCGCCATCGCGCCACAACAAATATCCGGCCCTGTATAGCAGGATAAGCCATCAGAGGCGGGAGTGATCAATGGAGGGACGCGAAACACTAACGCCAAGGGGATGACAACTGCTGAGGAATAAAGAAACTACATGCAGGTACACTGGGAACACGTCATGCTGGAGTTGACGTGTTCCCAGCCCGTCCTGTACCATGCAGCCCGTTCCGGTGATCACTCCCGCAGGGCCGGATATTGTTGGGAGCTGTTTGGACACTGGCGTCAGCGGCTGTGGCGACTGACGGCCGAGCCGACGGCGTGCACAGATCAGCTGTCTGAGGTCAGGGCTGCGACACAGCTCAGCTATCTCGGGTCAGGACCGTGACCCCCTATGAAATGACCCAGAGAGGGATCTAACATCGGTGAGTCCCTGCTTAACCCTAACAATCCCTACTTTTTTCGCGCTATAAAAAATCACATGCGAGTTATAAAAAACACATCCCTATCAACCAGTCCCAAACAGTGTACCAAATTTGAGGGCAATCGGCGTGGCAGTTCAGGGTTCAAGATATATGAGCAACCCAAAATCGCTACTGCAGCAGAATAACGAACACTCTTGGCCCTTCACGTCGCACGTGTCACGACGCTCACCATGATACATCAGTTGTAGTCAATAACTCACCAAGATACATCAGTTGTAGTCAATAACGAGATGGAAGGGATAGGATGACGTGCAACAAAGAGTAACGCAGGTCAATCAGCCCAGCGGTTGCTGACTTACAAGCCTATTAAAAACGTTACAGGAATACGCTTCGCTAGCTCAAACGTAATAGAGTAGAATCATTACATATATGCAATTGCTACTATTTCCTGGTTTTCTTTATAGGCCAAGGCTTGGTAACTGATAACTCTGCTGCCCTGTAATGGGTCCGGCCCGCTGTGGCGAGTGAAGACACTCGCTCTGACTGACTGGACCGCCAGCCGAGACGCTGCTGACTCTGGTGGTGAATGGTGAGCGGAAGAGGAGAAAGTTTACGCCAAAGCTGAAGCAACTCTACATTGCTGTACAGCTAATACGCTTTTCACCTGGTGGCCAGTAGAGGAACTAACAGTTACTACAACTGACCGTCAGAAGCACCCAACACACACCGTGCCGCTCCCAGTAACATACCAGGATGTAGACCCCAGTCGGGCAGCGCTCCGGCGTCCGGCAGCCGCAGCTGGTCCAGCAGTGACAGCAGCCGGCCGGCGCTGCCCTCCGGCGCCGTCCGACAGGCGTTCACGGCCACCACCCTGACGGACAGACGTTACACGGTCAGCAGAGAGCCGACACTCGGTCAGCGGACAGTGGCGTTGGGTCACCGGATGGCAGAGCATCGCCGCAGCACACAGACCAGACAGGACTGTGCCGACAACGCAACCCCGTTGGAGTAACATGACCCTAATAAATGCACCGAAAATGCTCTGGTCTGTCTCCATTAATTATAATAATAAAAAAATGAAAGAACAACTGAGATGAGGGAAAGGAGTGAGGCGTCTGTTAGGGTCCCCGTGCAATACGCCCGGTGCGGTGACTGACCTCTGCGCCGCTAGCTGGAGAGCTGGTTAACCCGTCTGACGACCTTCTGTACCTCCTCGGCGGAGAGCGGGTGGCCGTTGGTGGCCCGCCGCAGCCCGTCCCGGTAGCCGGCCGCCCCATCCGGCGGCACGCCCTGGGGAGTCATAGCATAACACTCAGGCAGGTTCAGGTTTCAGTCCGACACACAGAACCGTCCGGCGACACGCCCTGGGGGCGACATATGGGCGCGCTCAGGGCTCAGGTACAGGTCTCGCGAGATTAAGCGGTAGGTTTTGCACTTTTACATTTCCGGTTATATCTCAGAAACTAATCGATCTACGATGAAGCCATTTTACACGATCATGGCCGGCTTGTTACCCAACAAGTCGATCGCATCTTCAACACTTAAAAGCTTAAGACGACGAAGATATAGCCTGAAGTACACTAAATTTTCTAGGTGCAAAACCTACCGCTAAAACCCGCGAGCCCTGTACCATGCACAAGGGCGCCGGGTGCAGTGTCTGTGTGTCCCTGACTGACCTGCAGCGGTGACGCTGTCACAGAAAGCACCTGTTCATTGCCCAATGGATCCAGCCCAGTTCCGGCCGGCCGAGTGCCCGCACGTACGCAGCCAGTGTTACGGTCTGTGTTCGATCTATGTTACGGTCTGTGTTCAATCTATTTTACGCCCTGTGTAACGACCTGCGTTACGGCTTGTGTTACGGTCTGTGTTACATACCCTGTTCTGGGCGGTCTCCACCTTGACCCTCTTAGCGTCCCAGAGTCGGTATTGGTAGACGTGCGCGTTCTCTGCCGAGACGTCCCGCAGGTGAACGAGCAGGTTCTGTAGGCCGACCAGCGTCTCAGCTGGCACCTGAGAAGGTCAGGAGAGGGTTGGGGAGGTCAGTGGTGTACTGGCGTCTGATATAGACCAGCGGACAGGGGGAGGGGAGAGGGAGAGGAGTCTGGTGGCGCAGAAGGACCGTTCCGCGCTTGAAAGTGGACATATCTGAGGACCGTTCCGCGCGCGCTGACACTGCCTCTAGAACCGTTCTGCGAGCAGTCAGACATGCAGACCGGATTGATGTTTTGAAACTTTGACATAATAAACTTTAATTAAATCGACACAGGTACTCTAACCGCATGTGTTTTTTATATCGCGGACAAAAAAGTGGGGATTGTTAGGGTTAAGCAGGGAGTCACCGATGTTAGATCCCTCTCTGGGTCCTTTCATAGGTCACGGTCCTGACCCGAGATAGCTGAGCTGTGTCGCAGCCCTGACCTCAGACAGCTGAGCTGTGCACGCCGTCGGCTCGGCCGTCGGTCGCCACAGCCGCTGACGCCAGTGTCCAAACAGCTCCAAACAATATCCGGCCCTGTATAGCAGGATAAGCCATCAGAGGCGGGAGTGATCAATGGAGGGACGCGAAACACTAACGCCAAGGGGATGACAACTGCTGAGGAATAAAGAAACTACATGAGATGATGTTTTTCGTACTCCAGCGTAGTACGAAAAACATCATCTCACGCTCTCAGTCTCAGCGGATAAAAACAACACCTAAGAAAGAAACTACATGCAGGTACACTGGGAACACGTCATGCTGGAGTTGACGTGTTCCCAGCCCGTCCTGTACCATGCAGCCCGCTCTGGTGATCACTCCCGCCTCTGATGGCTTATCCTGCTATACAGGGCCGGATATTGTTTGGAGCTATTTGGACACTGGCGTCAGCGGCTGTGGCGACTGACGGCCGAGCCGACGGCGTGCACAGCTCAGCTGTCTGAGGTCAGGGCTGCGACACAGCTCAGCTATCTCGGGTCAGGACCGTGACCCCCTATGAAAAGACCCAGAGAGGGATCTAACATCGGTGACTCCCTGCTTAACCCTAACAATCCCTACTTTTTTCTCCGCGCTATAAAAAACACATGCGAGTTATAAAAAAAAAAACACATCCCTATCAACCAGTCCCTATCAACCAGTTAATTAATTCGACACAGGTTCTCTAACCGCATGTGTTTTTTTATTCGCGGACAAAAAAGTGGGGATTGTTAGGGT